CCTTATGTTCTCCATTCTCTTTCGTACCTCTGTCAAAGACTTTCTGAGTTTAATCATAGTTTTATGTTGCATCTGAACCATGGTTACCAGAGTTGGAAACAAACCAGGGTCTGAAACCAGTTTACGGTCCTGGTTTGATCCAAACCTGGTAACAATCATTACTTGGGTTGGATGCCACTGAAAATGATGGAGATCTCCTGGATTAATTAACCAATTGTGTTGGAAAGGGAAGAAAGAAGGGGATTTATGGGTGGAGACAAGGCTCATGCATATCTTGGCTCGACAGGCTGAAATATATTATGTTTTAAATTGGCGTTGTACTCCACTTCAGGATTATTTTACAGTGGAGAAGCAGGTAACACATATTACAAATAAATAAAATTGCCTTGTGCTACTAGCACCCTAACCACTACCCCATGAGACATCACCTATCCTTTGGTACCAGCTAAAAACTATTCCTTTTCCATCAGGATCCCAAGAGTGCTGAGTATTGTTGGAGACATTGGCTGGTATGTAGGAGGGACAATTGAACTGTAGGTTTTTTTTTAATGAAGTCTTTATTTTGTTTCATTTCTGTTTTTCATTAAGTGTTGCCTGAATTAACAGTGCTGTAACACAGCCTGGGCTTTATGACAAGGGGCAGGATATAAATAAACTGATGATGGCGATACCTATTAAGCACTTCTCACTGTTTTTGTTAGTCAGAATCAGTTCAGGGCAGCAAGTTGCTTGGTCAATTACTTTCTTGCAACCCAAAAGCCTTAGATCGGCTAAGGGAGGAGTGCCAAAGAGTTGACACTAATTTTAGGATTTGTAAGACAGGCATGTGGCAGATTACCAAGAGCAGTGTTTCCCAACCTTGGGCCTCCAGCTGTTTTTGGACTACAACTCCCATCATCCCTAGCTAGCAAGACCAGTGGTCAGGGATGATGGGAATTGTAGTTCAAAAACAGCTGGAGGCCCAAGGTTGGGAAACACTGACCAAGAGAGCTTCTAATTTTTAGGCCAGTTACATCCACAGCCCTACCTACTTTAGGGTGGTTGAGGATGTGTGGGGATAATGGATGAATTACTTCCATTACCATTTGATTCCAATACATCATAGTGATGTTCACCTGAGTCCCAGCATAGGAATGAAAAGGGAAGAGACTTTTAAGGGCTGCAGAAGGCCTTTTAATATTTGTTGGGGTGTTAGAAAATCCAGAATGACTCTGATTCAGGGAAACAGTTGTAACTTTTGAAACACATGAGGCAATAAGTGGTCTTATGTGCACCTTTTGGGACCTTCCTTTCATTCCATTCCTGCATTTTATGCTTGCTTTCCCTCTTTGAAGAATAAGCAGAAGAATAGCGGTTGGGTTATTTTTCATTCTAATAATAATAATCATAATTATTATTTCTTATGTTTCTGCTGTGTAAACCACTGTGTAATGTCAGAGGTGCATGAGATTTTTGATCTCCATAGCATTTTATCTTATTGATTGGTTTTAAAGATATATTTTTTTTGCCATCCTAAATAAAGGATGAGCTCAAACAATTAAGATTTGACCAGAAGGTTTTCACCAGTAAGAAGTAGATTGAATGACACTGGACTAGTTGTTTTCACATGATAAGGAACATACAAAGCTACATTCAATCAGCATTACCCATTTCTTCTTCCAGTTGCATTCTGACCTGTGGAGGACGACCTCAAGCAAGGTGCCCTTTGTACTCATTGAGGTTATCCATGTATTCTAGAATCCGGATTCTAAAATGTTTGGGGAGCCTTTTTGTGTTGGAAGGTGACCGGAATGCCAGTGGGGGCGGAGTTATCATGATGGGGTGGAGCTAGCACACTCCACCCCCACCCCCAAGTCTTCCTTGTGTGTTTACTGATCTTGTTGAAGGCTTACATTGTGGCCTATTGTGAATTTGTGATACGTCAGTTTCGTGAATGTAATTTTGCCTGCTAGGATCATGTTGGAGATAATTACGAGCAGAATTATGACAGTCCTGCGTGATCTTCATGCTATAAGTCTTAATTCGTAGACTGATGGCTGTGCATTAGAAGGAAATTAGGCTGATAGTTAAATATGGGAGTCAAATTACAATGACATACTTCAGATGTAACTTGCTTTGATTTATTTGTGGCTAATTTCATTTGAAAGGCTATAGTGTCTTCAGTCTGGGGCTACTATGAACATTTCTTCACGTAGTAAAAAGTCGGAGAGAAGTCTTGATGAAAAATACAAAATAAAATTGGAGGTTCTCTGCAAGCATCCTGGATGAAATTTATCTGTTTAATGGGTTTTCAAATAATAGCATTTGAAAGGGAGGATGGATTGAATCTGAAAAATTGGTTGTTCCTGTGGGAATATTCAATATATTAACATATTCTTTCCATAAAAGGGTTGCAGATCATCATAAGCCATGGTTCTTAATGGAGACTTGAGAAGCGGGGGAGCTATTGGCATTTGTGCAGGGGTGTCCCCTTTCTCTTTGGATTCTTCCACCACACGTCCCCATTTAGGACACCCCCCCTTCTCTTTGCAGCCTCTGCTTTTTGTCTATAGGGAAGTCTTTATTACATTTGTTGTTGGTTTCCAGCTCCCATCAGCTCCAGCCACCATGGCTAGTGGTCAGGGATGATGCTAGACTCTCCCAGGGCTAGCATCACATTATGGCTGGAAGTTATTTATTATTTATTTTGTTTAAATATTTAGGAGCCACGCTTTTCATAATTTACTAAAAACACAACAACATTATTCTATAGATCTCCATAAAACAAAAATTGAAGCATCAATAAAACATCAGTAGATATTGGTTGGTTAAAAAGAATAATTCCTATAGTGAAGGCCTGTCAAAACAGTAGCATTTTTAGAAGATGCCTGAAAGAAGGCAGAGACCATTCCTGCTGAGACTCTACTGGCAGGGAGTTCTACAAGGCAGGGCCTGCCACATTCAAGATCTGGTCCTTCGTGAAGGCCAACCGAACCTCAAGAGCATGGGGAACATCCAGAAGTGCCCCATATGAGGATCTCGGTGACTGAGGTGAAGTATAAGGGATCAGACTATCCTTACAATTAACTCTAAATTATAAGTTTAGAAATAATTTGGAATAAGCCCCCTGGAAATAATTTGGACTTCCCAGTATATGTGCAAAGATTATGCAGTTAGATGCAGTTATATACAGTGGTACCTCGGGTTACATACGCTTCAGGTTACATACGCTTCAGGTTACAGACTCTGCTAACCCAGAAATAGTACCTCGGGTTAAGAACTTTGCTTCAGGATAAGAACAGAAACCATGCTGTGGCGGCGCGGCAGCAGCGGGAGGCCCCGTAAGCTAAAGTGGTGCTTCAGGTTAAGAACAGTTTCAGGTTAAGAACGGACCTCCAGAACGAATTAAGTTCTTAACCTGAGGTACCACTATACTCTGGAAGAGTTAATATTTGATCTTTGGTATGCTTTGCAATCAGTATGGTTAGCATGGTCACAATGGCTACACGGTTCAGCCATATTTTAAAATTTGTCCCTGCTGTTTTCATTCTAGATTTCTAGAACATGCAATGTGTTTCAGTTAAATGGTTTCAAATTCGTAGACCACATGTAATAAGCTTCCATACCCATTCAGAGGTTCTTAACATAGCTTCTGAGCTACACATGTTGGAGGTGGCAGGGAATGAGTTAAGGATGTCATCCTCTCCAGCTTTGAAAACCCTTTATTTGTATTGCATCAGTGCCTAAAGCCTAGACTAGGTTGGGCCCCATTGTGTGATGGCTTATTAAGCAAACACATAGTAAATGACCCTGCTTGAACTAGTGCTGCAGAACTATATGTGGGTGCTCTGTGCATGCAAAACCAAAAAGGCTGTAATAATTCTGGATGACGTGCACATGCACATGTGTAGTAGTTGGAAATGTAACCTGCACCTCATTCTGTTGTTCTGTCTGCAGTCTCTGGTCTAGCAGTTTGGCACTTGCAAGTGGTGCGAATGCCACAGTATTCTTACTTCCTCAAGGGCAGACAGAGTTTTGGGGCACAGACATCAGTCAAAAGTTCCAGTTCTTGAATTCAGTTTTCCAAGTGAGATTTTTGTTAGGTATAATTTGAAGCAACAGAGTGAAAAGATTTAAGCTGGTGGTAAAATATTCTCCTCTTTAAATATTTTCTCTGGCGTGATGCTGTCTGGGCTCTTGTGAGTGCTGCAACAGACCTCAGTTTCTTGTTAATCATTTGCTGCTTTTTTTAGCCTCTTGAAGCAAAGCAAACACCTCTAATTTGCTTTGGAGTTGAGCAAAGTTGATGTCATTGCTGTAGTATGTGTGGTTGTACCTGATGATCGCTCAGAGAGGTGAGACCTCAGCATGTGAATAAGAGGAAATGTGTAGCCAGTAGTACTAGGCACAGCCCTGCAGCTGCTGAGCCCAGAGTAGGAGAGAGTCTTGCTTCCTCTGAGCCATTGTTAACCATCTATCTCCCCACCCCCACCTACCCTCTGAGGCTTGAGCAAGCTAGGCTGCATTTTGCAACACGGGCAGAAGAGTAGATCTTGCATGTGTTTTTATAAAGCTGACACCCACAAGAGGGAGGCTGCTTAAATCTTGGTGAGGATTGTTTTGGCTGTTTACCCTTTTACCGGTACTTCAGGCACATGCCTGCTAACCGCACCCTGAATTAACTAGAGCAGCGAGTCAGTCCCGTCCAAGGCTCAGGTGGTTCCGCGGCAACATTTAGCTAATGAATCTAGAGAGGGGGGTGGTCCATCTGTCAGGACCCTTCACAGCTGACTCACAGGAAGTGTTAAAAAAGCTTGGCACAAGGGTGATCAGCTCCAGGATTCTGCGCCTCCTCTCATTCCCCGCTGTCTTTGCCTGCATGTTTCACAAGCTCCTTTTTTTTTGGAAGAACAATGAACTGATTTGAAGTTTTAAGACTGGGAGGGTTCTCCTTGGAGTTCGCCCGTCTAGTAGTCTGCAGGATGTGTTGCTTGACACAGTTTTAGACAGTGTGGGTGGTAGGAGCTGACCCCCATTACTTTTATCCCCACTGCCCATACCACTAAGTGCTTTTCCCAGGGAGGCTCCAATACCAACACAGCTAAGAAGAAAAGAACCTGAGGGAAAGTTCTGGCATGTCCCTTTAATATCTCTCCTTACATGCAAATAAGGCAGTTCCAACTTTAAAGACACACCCCTGCTGCTATCCCATGTAGTACAGGCTTTAGGCTTGCATAACTGTCACAGCTGGTACCATTTCAGGTAAAATTTTGGTATGGAAGCAGAGAAATCCTAAAAAGATTAGCTGTATTTGCTCAAGACCAAATTACACTTTAAGATGTTAGTTCACAGCTCAGCTCAAATCCTTAAGTACATCCTTAAAAACAAACTTACGCTTGATCCTTGCTGATGGAAACAATGACACAGTCTGAAGGTCGGTCTTTGTCGTACTCCTTCTTTAACTGCTGGTAAAACTGCAAGTACAGCTTGTCCCGAAGAACGTCCTTTGTGTAGTCATCATCTAAAGAGATACCCAGACAGGCTGAAGTGGAGTTGCTTAAAGCACTGCACCCTCTCCTTGTTAAGACAATTGCAATTTCAGGGTAGGCGAGTCAATACATTTTAATAGCTCCCAAGTAAACAGTCAGAATTTAGGAATACAGTGGTGCCTCGCAAGACGAAATTAATTCGTTCCGCGAGTTTTGTCGTCTTGCGATTTTTTTCATCTTGCGAAGCACGGTGTCGGGAAAGCTTTGGAAAAGCTTCAAAAATCACCAAAGTCTTTAAAAACCTCAAAAAAGGCTACCACACCGCGTTCTATGAGTTGCTCCTCGAAGTCAAGTCGCAACTGTATTAACGGTGTTAAGAAAAAGGAAACAAACTTGCAAGACGTTTCCGTCTTGCGAAGCAAGCCCATAGGGAAAATCGTCTTGCGAAGCAGCTCAAAAAACAAAAAACCCTTTCGTCTAGCGAGTTTTTTGTCTTGCGAGGCATTCGTCTTGCGAGGTACCACTGTACATAACAGGCATCTTGGCCCACAGGACTGAGATACAGAAGCCAACAATATTTGACATGCCTATCACTGATCATCGGTGCAAGCTGCCAGAGAAACACTCTCTTACCTTTTTGAGAATATTGGTATCTCTCATAATTATCTTCATTCCCTGTTGATGGATGATATTGCTGCCCAAAGAGTTCTTCAAAGCTAACCATACAAGACACAAAAGTGAATCAAGCAGAGTTAAAATAAAGCTTCCTGATATTGAAGAGGACTCTCTCTCTCTCTCTCTCTCCCTTCTCATATTGGGGCGTGTGATTAATGCTTAATTATTATTCTTGATGAAGCACACTGTTGGTCACTTAGTGCAATGCTGCTATCAGTGATACAGCTAATTGGCACACCAGAAGACAAGGGCATAGTGGGGTGTCCTGGTAATATTGTTGAGGGAGGCATTTGACTGAACATTTGAATCAATGTTTAATAATACGAAGGTATAAAATAAAGAATAAATAAATCACATGGCATTATATATATATATATATATATATATATATACATGTGTGCATGTTATGTGTACCTGTGGCTCTTCGGCTGCTGTCCCCCCCCCCCCCTTTGATTCAATTTGTTTAGGAGATTAACTGCTGGTATTTACTTCAAATTGAATTGTAAATCACCTTCTAAACTTTCTAAGCTGAAATTATATAGTAAATAATTAGGTGCAAATTAAGAGCACAAGAAATTAGCTTATAGCAGGCAAGACTCAGATACTTATTTGTTGGCATCGTCTGATTGGCAGCCACTTTCCAACATCTCAAGACAGCAGTTTTACACACCAACTGCTATCCTTCCTTTTCTAACTGGAGATGTCAGGAAATGCCCCTGTGACCTTGTGCATGATGAGCATGTGCTCTACCACGGAGCTGTGGTCCTCCCAAATTTAGGGTACTCTCATGGCATGAGAAACTATCTTGTCAGTGTGGTGCTGGGCATGCTATGCAAAGGCCACAGCTTCACATGGAATCAGCGCCTGCCTAAAGCCACCATCAACTGTAAGAGCCATATGGGCTGGCTTTAGCAGTTATGCCCAAAGAGAGCTTGAGATCAGCCATTTCTAGCTGTTGGGAATAAATATATTATGGAAATTCAGCCTTTTCTAAAAGCTAAAAATAAAAGTGCATGTATGAACTTTTATATGATGTTATACCCTTAAAGTGAATTCATAAAGAGCCAAGTAAAAAGAAACCATACTTAAATCCTACATTCTAATTGAATACACTGAACTTTCAAAAAACTGTTACGTGCTGAATCCATTGGTCTGTATCTGTTTCAAAATAGTATATAGTCCAGTTTTTCTGAAATGTCTCAATATATTTGATGAAAAGAAGAAATTTTAGGACATGAGCTTATTTGTTAACATTGGGTTTCACATCTTCTTTGAGCTTTGGGGATGGGGTCAGGTTATTATTCAAATAAGTACTGAGAAAAACCCCTCTAACCTGTTAGCATCTTCATAGTCCTTCGAATAACCCTCCGGAGACGAGTAAGAGCTCTTCTGAAAGGTTTTGTAAGGATTTATGCTGTAAGGCACAAAAATTGTAACATATTTAAGATGCTGGATTGCCATTGTTCACCTCTTCTGGAAAGCTCAGTTCTACTTTTACAATATAGTACAAGATTGCCAGGTTCATCTATGTGCAGTTATTTACCAGAAATCCCACTAGGTGGTTGATTCCTCAGCCAGCTTTGCCTGCTGGCAACTTATGGATACTCATGGAAATACAACCACACTTTGAAAAGAGAAAGTGTGATAGGCTAATGAGCTGCTCCACTGTACTGACTCTTTGCACAACTGGTATTGGCTTCCTATGCTTATTTTTCTACCCAAAAATGTGACTGCCAGAGAAATTGTGTACTCTTTCCCATCAAAACAGAACCACAAAGTTAAACAACTGACCTAGGATAACAAATGCTAGTAGGGTGAATCAGAGGAGAAGCTAATTCAAAAGAACAACAACAGCACAAGCAATGCCTCCTTTTTATATTTAAATGTAAAAAGACAACATAACCATCAAACTATTTGAAGGTTTTTAAAAAAAAAGTATTTTAAATGATTAAAACATTGAGGATTACTTACTCTAGAAGTCGTGGAATCCATCCAGGTCTATGCCTAGACCCAAAGTGGAAAAAAGTAGGTTAACTTATGCAGAAGATATGCTGCAAACATCTGTCATTAATTACATCACTGTAGAAGTAAAAGGTGCAAATTGTCTTAGAATATGAAGACCTTATAAATCCCAAATGCTTTAAGACAGAATGATAAGCTGAAAGGATAAAATATGAAATTATGTATTTTAAAAAATGGCTGTAGATCAGAAGCCAGTGTTGCCTGTATTAATAATATTTTTTATTTTTACCTACCCTTCACCCTAAAAACACAATATTAAAAACATTTCTTAAAAACTTAAAATCAGAAAAATAAGGTGCATGACTCACATACACATAGAAGTTATAGAGCAACTCAAACATAATAGACTTTCAACAGTGTAAAGAAGAAACTATTTAACATCATAAAGATTAAGAGAAGAAAAATAATAAGAGATATGATGATTTAAGGAAGCTGCAGCATGCTACTCATGTCAATGAATTATGTCAGTGATTCCCTTGAACCACTACAATGTAGTATTATATTTTAAGTCTAGAAGCCATATCACGGGGAAAGACACAAACAGTGCAACCACCCTTTCCTGCCCCCTTCCAGATGAACTCAGCGATCCAGCTGTGCTACACATATTTGTTTAAGCTGCTGGATTTGAAGTCTGCACAGGTTGGGTAGAGAACCCCATCCAAAAGAAAAAAGGACAACAGATGTATAGTCTGGAAAGTTATGTCAAGTATCAGAGACAGCATAAGGACGACAGCTGCTTGGTCTTGCCTCATTTGCTGTTAACTATAGCTAAAGCACAGATAAAAACAAATTCAGTTCTGATGAAGAAACTAGCTTAACTTTGAACATAAGAAGCATCGTTCTGAACCCTTTACGCAGAGCTTCCATCTAAATACACAAACATATAAAGCCCAAGAGGCCAAGAAACTCAGTGTTCATTATACTGCCCAACAATGTAATGGTACTAAATATAGCACACAACTCCAATCTCTTACTCCAAGTAAAGTTACTCTTCAAGTAATCTTTGTTGGTACAGAAGTGTCCCTCTGTGCAAGACATTTATTTGGCATGCGCTAGTTGATGTACTGAAGCAACTAGAAAACAAGGTGGGATAAACCCCCCAGGACAAGCAGTGTTGCCAAGGAATATGTGATAATAACAGCCA